GGGGGCGGCCGCTTTGATGATTCGGCTGACATTTCCAGGAGACGTTAAAGACTTGAGCCGAGCTAATCAAATCATTGCGCGGTTCTCTTGGAGGCATGCTAGCATGCACGTCCAGGGGCATTAGTGGTTTTGGAGATAGACGGTTGCCGTGTTTAAGTGCTTTTTGGAGGGAATGAAAGAATGCGCCGCTTTCAGATGCCCACCATGTCTACATGACTTGCTTTCGGATTGTCATAGGCAGATCAACAACCGCATTTACACAATGCTCAGCATGCATCTGTGCACACTAGTATATGGGTTACGTTATGCTATGGTTTACACATGTAAATAGAAGTGAAGTACAACATGCAAAAACTGATTGCAGGCTAAGAAAAAGGAACAAACCAGACCAACCATAACATTTGATGCTTCTCCTGCTTAGTCGACAGAAATGATATCCCATGAAAACAACGGCCAAATCCTACACGTGATCACCTTCCTGACTCCAGAAACCAAGATAGCAATTGATTGTCTTTTCATTTTTCATTGAATTCAAGATGACAGAAATCTTTTGATTGGGTAGAATGTCGGCGCTATTTGACTGTCGTTGCTGGACAGCCCCGGGGCGATTGTGTTTTGCGCCTGTAATGGGCAGCATTTTCACAGCCCCACTTTGTTCAGCGGAAAGGTCGGTGCTGTTAGGCAGTCTGCGGCTGGATGGATGCATGGCTTGAGGAGCCGACAATGAGAAGAAAGGAGCGTCAGCGCCGATGCATATTTGGAACTGGGAGTCGCAGCTTGGGCGGCTTGGAATTGAAGCGGATTTACATGGGACAGGACATGAGAGCCAATCTCTTTTTTCGTCGATGGACGCTACAGCTTCTTGTTTGCTTTCAAACTTAGCTTGTAGCAGACGTGTGCACATTTATAGCATGACGTCTTTGTTCCACCGGTGAAAAGGACACTTTGATTCGCTCCTCTTTCATCTATAACTGCTTCAAACAACAAAGTGTATGCAGGAAAAGTGGTTAAGATTGCACGACTGTCTGTGTCTTATGTGTTGTCTTGTTATTTTCTCATTTAATGTTAACTGTTCTTTTGATGGTGGCGCGGGCAGCCGCAGCGGCTCCTCTTGTTGTCTTGTTGTTTGGTTGAGAGGGAAGAAATTTCATTTGTGCTGTTTGTTGCACATACAGCGCATTTGACAAAAAAGTTGTACTTGACTTGACTTGACCACGGTACTTCGAACAGGATGAAACAACATCAGATAATATAGTGCCCTGAAAACACCTTCGCTTTCCCCTCGTCATTTTGTCTGTCATGCATCTTTACAGGGTGAGAAGGTTGACTTTATTTTAGTCATACTGTATAAGGTTCATGATACTCGTGTTAACTGATATGATAGTTAGGAATCTTACTGAACACATCACCTACACAGTTGATGCAGGAATTACTGAATGACGGCAACCCTCAATTTAGACCGGCTCAATTGCACTTTTGTCTCAAATTCACTGTAGATTGTTGCCAATGAGGAACACTGGTTTGAAATATGTATAACTTCAAAATCAAAAAGGGGATTGTCTTTTACTTTGACAGTTTCACTGCATCGGGTATTGCATATTTAAACTTTGATAGCTTAAGGTAAAATTGTAAAACTGCTTTGTAAAACGAATCTCGTGTTACTTCCTGCGTCTTCAACAGCAAATTAGTAAGGCCTGCGAATTTCACCAAATAGTTTAATACAAGACGCCTTCATTGCTTCAAGATGTAGAATTTGTACAAAATACCATTGTTGGGAGGGAGCATAGGGTTCAAAGTCACACACTTGTCTCACTTAGGGTAACTATCCAAAAATGATTCGGATGCTATTTGTGGCCAGGGCACATGCAGGCAGAATTCTCATCAGCGTCACTTTGAAGAAAAGAGGTCAGAGAAGTCCTCCATGATGTTTAAAGGGGATGTACGGTGGATGTTTGACTGATTTATTTGCTGAATTGGCAGCCAGGGTGGTGTAAGATACGTCACTTTCAGCATAGACTTGATTGGGAATTTCTCCATTGTGAGACAAATAAAGCTTTTCTTATCTTATTACACTGTCAAAAACATTATCATGTCAAAGCCAAAAGGTAAGCAGAGCTGCACTGCTTTTTCTTTCGATGCACAGGGACTTGCATTAGCTAATAGCATTAGCTTCTGACAAGTGCACTTGAGTGCCACTGCAAATGCCACATGCACACATTTGTATGTTTAAGTGTATGAAGTATTTCCTGATTGAAACTGATTTTATTATCTTAAGGTATGCCTGCGCCCCAACAACACACACACACACACACACACACACACACACACACACACACACACACACACACACACACGGTTCGCCCTTTGTTTGGAGAATACCATTTCCTCTTCCAACTACCTTGCTCCAAGGGTACGAAAGCTTGGTTTGGCTGTAGAGTGGAAGATCCACGGGAACTGAAAACAATGCCCAATATGTCTCCTTTAACATCACACACATTGGGAATCGGGAAAAAAAAAACTAAAGGCGGCGTGATGCTTCTGGGGGATAAACACCCTCAAGAGAGGCACTGTTGTATGCTGTAATCTATTTCGAAAGAGCAATTCCACTCCCTGCATAATGAGGGCAAATGGAAGCAGTGTGATGCAGGACCATCATTTGGGGCTCGCAGTTTGATGACCCCGCGTTGCTGTGCCACCTCTCAGCCTCAAATGGAGTCGCAGGGAGGTTTTCATTGTGGGTGCTATTCAAATTCCTGAGACTGTGAGACTTAAATTATCACATACAGTTGCTGATTATACCTGTTACGGTAATGATGTGAATAAATAAATATACTGCATAACAACATTTTGGGGAGGTTGCTTTAAGTATTCCAGGGCATCCATATGCCCTTGAGCGCCACTCAAAGCCATCAGCGTCTTTCATGAACACTGCTGCTGCTGCTGCTGCAAAAAAAAAGGAACTCCACGTCCTGCTGGATGTTTTCACTGCAACCTTTCCCACAATGTTGTCATGGAAACCTGCCGTACTCCATGTGCACGTGCCTGTGTGAGAAGAGGAGTGATTGTCTGAGGTCAGGAGTATGGTGGCAATGGGCTTCTCTTTCATAATGACTCAATTACGCGATGGAAAATGGAGGGAGGCCCTATCAATGTAACATTCATTAATTTGTCTCAGGGGCTACACACTAAAAAGGAAGAACAGCCTCATACTGCTCTTGGATTTGTATATTCAAGTGTATGCTAAAGACACATACAGGTACAGAAAGCACAGACTCATAAATGCTCATTACATTGTGGTTAGCGTCAATAAAACTGTTCATGCAGTCACTGAATGTCACTCAGAGCGCCCACAGCGGGGAGGGACAAACATTTATGGCTACAGTACATGCAGGCCAGCATATGTACTGTGGTGTAATCCAATTTATTGTAAATGTACTGTCAAAGTACACATTACAGATGCATGGCGAACAGGACGTCTAAAAGTGGAATGTCGTTGAATGACAACCCTTATTGAATTTCATCCTGTTTTTGCGTGCGAGCAGGTTAATTAAAACTTGCAGTTTTTGCATGGATTGCCTGCATTCAAATGAATTGCAGTATTGTACACACACAAAAAAATAAACAAATCGATGACTTTAAATGAATGTGCTTCATTTGTTTCATTTGCCTCTGGCTTGTCTATATTCATGCGGCGCCTCAGGTCTGCGGACCAGACATTATTAGAAGTACCAAGAACTAAACTGAGGCTCAGAGGGGATCGAGCCTTTTCTGTTGCTGGTCCCTCTCTCTGGAATGACCTCCCATTGAACATTCGGCAAGCCTCCTCGCTGCCCATCTTCAAAACCCGCCTCAAAACTCACTTGTATTCTTTGGCATTTGACTCAGCATGACTTAGATTGTTCTTGGTTTTGCTGTTCGGTGCTTTCTACTGTTTTTATTTCCGAATTGCTTTACTGTTTGTTGTATATGTTAATTTGCTCCATGTACAGCACTTTGTATGCAGCGATGGCTGTTTGAAAGTGCTCTATAAATACAGTTGAGTTGAGTTGAGTTGAGTTGAGTCATGTTTCACTTGAATCAACGTCTGTAGGATACCAAGCAAATAACATAAACTCCGAGCGATCAACATGGAACTCGATTGTTGAAGTGACTGGCAGTACAACTCCGTCACCTGGTGGACAAAGACGGTAAGTGCACATCTGTCTTTTCAAAACTAGGAGCGAAAAATAGAGTCTGGCAGGTCTCTTGCAATTTGTCCTCCATTCATGTCTAAAAAAAATACGGCGATATCAAAGGTTAGTTTCCCAAACATGTGAAAGACGTTCAAAGTGTTTTCCAATAGATCCCCTTGGTGTGCAGCGCAGTAATGCTGCCGTCCTTCCATTCTGTGACAATGATTAACTCTGTTGTTTTTAAATTAAGACAAACCTCGGCTCATTATCTACTTGGTTCATGTTGATCAACTTGTCCTGTCTGCGAGAAAGCTGCACACCATGTAAATATAAATTGTAAATACAGTAAATATTCCCCAGCCTCTCAAAGCGTACCCTCCAAATTGTTCCCAAGAGTACCAATTAGTCTATGAAATGTACACAATGGCACCATTGACAACACGTGAATGCTACATTGTGCCGTTAGTGCAGATAGCATTTTCCATGAAATAACAATAAAGAAGACCTGCTACTCTGTCTTGAGTCTCCAGTGGGAGTGAGTGAATTGCTGAGTACAGCAGTGAACTATTTGGAAAACTGAAGGTATTTTCTTCTTTGGGAGACTCAAACCAACGTCTGCAAAAGTATTTGCTACGAGGAGTATCTGAGCATTATCTGCCAGATGGGTAGCAATTATTTGAAGTATTGTTTCTACAAAACGTTTCTGTAAACATCATTGGAACATATAGTCATTCTTCAGTACTGTTACAGGTTCTGTGCATTCCTGAAATAATCTGTGATTGATGAAATGTCCATTGAATTAAAAAGAAAAAAAAAAGAATCAAGATGTGTAGTGAAAACGTTTATTAGTTTAAACAACCACAAAACACACAAACAGTCACTCCCTTGTGTCACACAAACAGGAATCCCCCCCACCCTCCCAAAACAGCCAGGTACCAAAAACGCTTCCATTTTTCGTGTGCATATAATTTGAGTTGAATTAAAACAATCAAAGTGGCCTGGTCGAGTGCAACAAAGGTTAACAATAAAATATAAATGGAGGTTACAGCCATTCAATGCCAGTCAGATCTTGCACATCACTACAGTGCAAATGCGACACTTAAAGCTGGGGCTATACACCCAGTGTTGATTGTTTGGGCTCTCATTGCGAGTGGATGACAGCTCCAATCACGAGTGTTTACTTCTCATTTTTCACAAGTTGCTGAATTTGACATTATTTTGTCATACGAAGAAACCTGCTCATGAAAAAGAAAAAAAAAAGCGTAATTAACTTTTAAACTGGTGGATGAATGCCAAATTCCTCAGTCAGAACATTTGCAATTGTGAAAAGACGATACCTTACGATATACCTTAGGTATAAGAAAAGGTAGCAAATTGAGATGAAGTCAAAATATGCTTTACGCACAACACGATGCTCAAGCTCCAAACAGCAGAGTTGGTCGGATTGAGAAAAAAAACGAAAATAAAATAACACAAGAAAACATTCACTGTTCAAACAGTTATACTGATGTGGGTTTGGCCAGTCTGGGATGGGAGGCGCTGAAACAGTCCAAAGTGAGGCAGCAGAGGCTGGAGGTTCAGCCACATGGTGTTCTGCTGATGCACCAATAACTAAGCAGCTATGAGCCAGTTTGGTCGCACAGCTCCCCGCACCTAAGTCTGGGTGAGTGAGTTCCCGGGTAAAAATGGGGCTGTGGGCTGCTGTGGTAATGCAATGTGTCGGGTTGCGCCGTGGCACAGGTAGAGTAAAGTGAGGCCAGCTTTAGGCTGGGAGTGTCTCGGCTGTAGCACAGCCAGGGCTGACGCTGCGTCAATTCACGTCTTTTGCAGATTTGTGGCAGGAGATTTTGAGAGGCTGTCTTGCCGGTCCCCTCTTGAGGACTGCTCACTGCTGACAAATACACAACAGCATCAGCAACACGGCTCGAAAAGAAAACAACTGTCATGGATGGAGAGAAGCAGCAGACATGCACCAGGGGAGGCTTCAATAAACCGCCGATGTCAGCTTCAAATGTGTGCGGAATAGGCAATCGCAGTACGTGATTACGTATTCAAAAAGTGGCAAAAATGACAGTCAGACAAAGGAGAGAGAGAGAGAAAAAAAAAGCATCTGCACCACTCCAAGCATGAATGTGCAACACACTGGGCTGCAAGCAGGCAGTCTCCTTGATTGCACGAGCTAGATTTTTGACAAGCACACCTGCAAAGTGAGTGCAGCCCCCATTAAAAAAAAACAAAAAAACAAAACAAAACCTGACATGCCATTTGAAATGATCAGCACAAATCCATTCATCGCATATCCATGGGGGGGCTGCCGGTTCTACTGCCAGGTGCAAATTCTGCCCTGGTTGTAATTTCTACTGCTTATGTGCACATATTCTACAGTATAAAATAAGATAACCTTTATTTGTCCCACACTGGGGAAATTTGCAGTCTACAGCAGCAAAATTGGAGGAGGGGAGAAAAAAATAAAGTGTTTCATTGCATAAAATAAATGTTTCAGAAAAGAACTGTACACAGTTCAATATAAGTGCAATATAAAATAAAGCATTAGCAATATATTTGTAGAATAAATATAATAAATTAGCAATTGCATAGAAAACACAGCGTAAGGTGGGTGTGCTATTTACAATGGTTACAGGTTTTCACGTATGTTTATTCAGCAGCCTGGGGAGCTACAGGGAGCTAAAATAGACACAATTAAGAAATTTTGCGAAAAAAAAAAGGGGGGGTGGCACTTCTTGCTGTACCTTTGCTCATGATACCTAACCACAAGAGTTCATTTCTATTTTGAGTATCATGTCCTTGACAAAAGGTTTCAGTCTAATTTATTTATTTTTAAATATCGTTGCCGTGAGAATAAAATCGGTCAGCTACCTGCGAGAAATCCCAAATAACTTCAGGGTTAAATTAACTGAAGCCTCCCTCTGGATTTCACATTACCTGCTTCACCTACACTGTAATCTGTCGGGAAAGATTTTCTGCCGGCCTTCCTTCCATGACCACCACGCCAAATTCCCATTGGACCCTGACGAGAAAGGGGTAACTGTTAACGGATATCTGTGGGAGGCAAATGCATGAAACCATCTGTCCGACTGCCAGTGCGGCTCCGACAGTCTCAAGATGAAATAAGAGACAATTAGCATACCTGATGTTTGGTCACCATGTGTGTCGTGTGGACGAGCGGCTTAAACTGCAGAGGCTGGCCCAGGAGAGAGTAGTGGGCTTCACCTAGACATGCCGACAACATTTAGACATGACATGAGCTTTTCCAACATTTTTTCATTTGGACTGTCTTTTCCCTAAGTCACATTGAAGTGAGTGAAAACAACAAAAAAAAAAGCACGTGTAATGTCTCCAAGAATAATGGTTTACAGCACATTGGATGTACTCCTTTGGCGCTGCGGGAATATTTCTGTACTTAACTACAGAGTTAAACCGTTTATTACATGTAGGAAGGGCTTTTAGAGAAATAATATCATCCAAACCCAATTCCAAAGAAGTTGGGACATTGTGCTAAAAATCACCAAAAACAGAATGCCGTAATTTCATGTCCTGCGACTGACCGGTGACCAGTCTTGGGTCGCCGTTCACTGGGTCAGCTGAGATAGACTCCAGTGAATCTGTGAGCTTGAACAGTTAAAGTAGTACAGTATACAAAACGTGTGTGAGGCTCAGCAGCTTTCTCGGCTTCTTGGCATGGCAACATTATTAGTTCTTTGCAGAGGATAAAGAATAAGCCTGTGAGTAGCACTTATTACATTAGTAAAGCTGGGCGATATGACAACATATAGATCAAAGACCATCGATAATATTTTATCATGTCACCTTTTCGTGGCGTCGTCATTTGTCATTTGCTGCCAACTGCGCATCAATTAGACATCAATTACAACTTGATTTGACGGGCAAAAACCTTTCACTTTTCAATCTTACGCCGGACCGCCACCACCAGGTGGTCAACCGACCAACTATACAGAGAAGTGAATCATACACCATACTTAAAAAAAATATACAATGCAAAATTAAATCGAAACGTCAATGAGAATTAATATATAACGAGGTGGGTGACTGCAAATCAAACTCATAATCATGAATAACTTGAGTGAGTTTTATTTATTTTTTTTTTAAAAATAATAGAATGGCAGAAACCCTCCCAAAAAGCTTCCCCAGGCTGATTACGTCACCTGAAGCGGGGTCTTTGGCAGGTCGAGGAGCGATGCCACAGTAGCTCGCGATAACAAGTTAAGGAACGGGCTTCGGCTGGTTATTACTGCCTGCTAAACACGTTGCGGTTTCGCTCCTTAGTCAGTGGTCACAGCCTCAATCATCTTGCCTCCATGGCGGCGAATAAGCAACACTTCTTACAAGCATCGTCCTTGCGAAGGGATTATGAGGAGTAATTAACAGAGGGAAAACCGGAGAAGCCATGCCAACTGCTAAACTAACGTAATGTCATCGTTACAGACGGGAATTAAAAGTGCTTGGGTGACTGAGTGCACTTCACAGAGGTCTCGCTGGAGTCAAAGTGGCACGTACCCAAAGTTGATCAACAAAATAGCTGGCAATTTCATAAGTGTCCGGAGAGAAAATTAATACAAAATAATGTTTCACACGCAACGAAACAGGAAATGTTAGTGTCTCGTACATCAACCTGGAGGAGTGGCCTAGAACATTAAACGTATATTAATGTTGAAGATTAGCGATTAAGAAAATGGATGCAAGTAAATGCATGTATTACAAATGTGATTAGTTTTCAAAACACAGAAGTAAGTTTTCATTTTGACTGGTGAGATCTTCAAAAGAAATGTTCTCAAAATGACATGAGTAAAGCTCTTTTTTTTTAATTTTATTTTTCAATTTCTCTAAGACATTTTTCATGCCTCTTATTTAATATGTACATTCGTGGAAAAATATGTAGACTTCTTTGTTTCTGTTTACATCTGATATGTTTTTGTTTTTGTAGCAGCATTACTGAATGCGTTTTTGTTTTGATACGGGTCTGTTGAATGTCGCTTGAAAATAAAGTGGGAAAACGTAAGCAGTCATAGGGTGTTGTACAATTTCTTTTAAAATACCTGAAAATATATTGTAGTATGTCATCATCATGATATAAAATGGCCAATATCGTAATTGAAGATTTTTTTTTCATATCGCCCAGCACATTAGTAATGTTATATGACCACATAAGTATAGCACAGCATAAAACTATGGATTGCTGTAAATTTCCAGCAGCAGTAAAATAGTATCTTAATAGATTTTTTTAGAAATGTAATAAACAGTTCATGCTTGGTTAAAGAATAATGGGAATTTAACAATATAAAACCGTATTTTTTGGTCAAGCGGTGGACATAGTCAGCACATTCATTCACAAGTTTAGCTACTATTCATCAGCCTCTTATTGGTAATTGTGGCCTTAGGTTTCTGTTCTGATGATGTCACTTCTTTATTGATCGAACTTCTCACAATCCTCAATTCATTTTTGAGTGGTGAGACCTGACGGGATATTTGTGATATTTGTCCTCACTTGGGATAGCACAGCTGCTTCATTATTCAGTGCAGTCGATGTGGATTTCAACCAAAGAATTAAAGTTATTTTATCTCACCAAACTGTCCAATAATAGCATTTTTCATGTTTGCGCACTTTCTGACCTGGCCCACTATGGCAGAAGTCTGTAGGGAGCTGCAGTTGGTGCTGGTGGGTCATGACGGGGATGGACGAGATGCCTGTTGGGAGGCCCTTGATATTGGGCGACGGTCCCGACGAGGATGTGAGCGCCGGAGGTGAAAGCAGGCTGCTCTACACGCAACATACCAGTGGTGCAGTCAACAACAATGGGGAGAAACACAAACATTTTCATTCAAAGATGAACAAATGCCTCACCGCATCAACCACTCTACAATAAAGTGCAATTACTCGCTGATGCTTTTATGTTTTCCTTATTTTCATCCCCATTCGACAAACAAAATAGTTTCATTTGTTTCCAAACCTGTAACTCAATTTACCAGTCTAAATTTAAAATTGGAATAATTCCAATTTTAAATTATATAAATGCCATTAATCCATTCAGCCCCTCAAAAGAGCTAGATATATACATATAATTTATATACAATTATTCCTTCATTATATATATATATACATACACACACACACACACACACACACACACACACACACACACACACACACACATGCACTAAAGTAGGTTTACAGTTATAAAAAATAAAACATAAAATACTTAGTGTTTACTATACAAAAATATACATGCTTCAGATAATATCTTACTAATTTCACCTGTGAGATACTACCAAATACTAGAGGGTGACATTTTTCTCGGAAATCCCGCAGGTCACGGGAATCCCAGACTATAATTTGCCCCACACTATCGGAACCCCGAGTGCTGGTATCCACATCCACATCCACACATCCACATCCACCGAAAACGCCGTTTCATTTTTTTAACCAGATTGTGCATTTACATCTCAGTGCCTTCACGAATCCTCAGAGTGATAGCGACATTTTTCTGTCCTCCAATTGGTTCATCTATGTTTATCCTTCTGACTGGTTGATCTTAAAATGCACAATTAAGACTGATTTTACAAGGCAGGCCAATGTACGGCATAATTACAAATTCTGGTGCACGTTTCAAGAAAAAAATTGATATGATGAGACTAGGTGAACCAACTCTGTTTCTGGCTGGTTTCAACCCAGAAATTGATTTTTGGGGAATGTTGAGAGCAGCATGTATGAGGGTAACAGTTAGCTGATAGACAGACAACAGCAAAGAAAGGAGAATTGGTGGAGTTGATGTCGGAAGGTTAGGGTAACCGTTGTTTCTTGCTTTAGAAATAATGGCATTCATCCTCCAAAATGCCTCTCTCTGCATGCATGCTTATATCGTGTTTTTGTAACAATATTTTGTGACGTGATTCGGTGACTTAACCTCACCCCTGACCACAGGTATCACCGTAGGCTATTTTTCAAGTACTTTGTATCTTAAACCATACACTTTTCAAACACCCCGGTGTAGTTTAGAAACATAAGGTAAAGTCTGGCTCATTGAGGCAAAATAAATTTAGCGTCTTATCAGAACCAAATGGCATTTTTTTTTTTTTTTTTGGAACAAAGATGTGTTTTCCTGCTACTGATGAACTCATGCAGCGTTAGTACCTGCATGTTGTCAGGAGGCAGCGGGTGATCAGTCGGTCGGCGGGTGCGCTGGTGCTCGGGGCCCAGGTGTTTGTGGCTGGGTTGCTTCTGTTGGCAGGCGGAGGACGCCGGGGGCTGCTGGCAGGGGGGAGCTGCCATTTGCAGCATCACCATACCGCTGCCGGGGGCCGGGTGCAACAACCCTGCACATGATTAAAAGGAAAGAGGAAAAAAAAACAGGCAGTCGGTAGAAATTTGTGCTTGAAAAAAATGCAAATCGGGACAAGCAGTCATGATAAGATCTAATTCTGTGTGGCTGGTAAGCAGATTTTCAACATAATGTTTACTGTTTTTTTGTTTTTTTTAAACGAACACAGCCCATCACATAACCTCATTAATGCATTTGGACTGGAGTGTATTTGTTTGTGCAAATGCGTGTTTGCTCAAAAGCGCTTTTCCACAGCAGTTTGATTCACCTACACACCCCAACCATGAAAACAGCACTATTAGCTGCTCGGCAATTAGATTTTAAGTGCCTCGATTATAAAGGCACATCCATAGGGGCTATAATTGAGTTGTTCTCTTCCTGCTAAATCTTCTGTGATGATCCGGAAGATCCAATTACCTAATTAGTTTGTGCTGCGTGAATGTGACTGATGGGACTGGAGGGGGTGGGGGTTGGGGGGAATTAAAAAAAAATAAGGGGAGCCTCCTTCTGCTGCTCCCACATCAAAAGCGCTACACAATTCCATTCAATACTTTGAAAATTCTGTTTACACACGGTTAACAACAGGTGAAAAATCCCATTTCAAATGCCAATGTTGATTTTTAAAATTTTTTTATTAATCAACTAATAATAGAAGGCACGGCAGAGATTACAGACTTAATATCCATATTATTCCCATCCCTGAATGAGCCAATTAAAAGTGTTTACCGGAGATGTTTGAGGTAAGGCTGTCTTGTGACCTTCAACTGACCTCATTACTGATGGATTGAAATGATGGCTCCCGCCATTGCGCCCCTCAACATTCACACATGAATAATAAAGGGCATTTGGGAAGAGACCTACGCACTTGAGCCTCTGTTGGGTACATGCAAACACCTTTATATTAAGCCTCCTTGTCTGAACAACAGTATGCACATTTAAAACGAACACATTAAATGGGTGCTCTTGCTGGTGAAGTCGTATTTTATTCCCAACAAAATACACAGTGTGTGAGAAATACATAAATTAGCTGTTGAATTTATGGAGGTGCTATAAATGTAACAGAGTTAGATTTACTGGGGGCTTCTCTCATTCTTCCTACAGCATCATTATTACCAACAGCTCAAACAAAAGCGCTTCTTCATTTTTTTGCATACAATATGTGGAGTTTCATTAAAAGTGCCAAGATCAGTGGTTGTCAAATGGGGTACGCTTACCCCTGGGGGTAGGTGGAGGCACATTTGCGGGGGTGTGAGATTCTAAAATATATTCAAAAAGTAGCATCAGTTTAAAAAAAGAGCTTGATCACAGCAGCCGCCTCCCTACCACCAAGAATGACAAGTACCTCAGTCAAGCACAAGTCCCAGTGTCTCACAAAACCCAAAAACATTCAGTTCAGTGCAACAATGCAATCATCGCTGCTGAGAGTTCAGTAATGTAGTTAGTCTTCTTTTGAATTATTAGATAGATACTTTATGATTTTTAACTGTTTTTGTTTTTAGCAGTTTGTTTTTATTTAGTCACTGATGGTGTAGTGCAGTGCTTCTCAATTATTTTCTGTCATGCCCCCCCTAGGAAGAAGCAAACATCTCGCCCCCCCCGCGCGACGATAAATAGTATCATTTGTCTATAAAATTGTTATAAGTACATCTCTGCATAACGCTATATCCTTATTAACGTATAAGAGAATAAAAAAATAAAGAAATATGGACCAACTTACAACAAAGAATAGCTATATTACCTGGAAGAGAAAATATTTAAAGTGCATCTGAAATTCAAAAATGAAATTAAATCCTTAATTAAACTGTAAACATTTTTTGACTGACCATGTCAAACCATACGATACTGAAAAATAAAATTACATGAAATCAATGAATAATAATGCACTGAAACTGATCACCAACATTAACTCAGGAGCACAAAATTAAAAAAACTTTAACCTGACACCGGTCTTTCCTCGTCTCCCACCCTAGTCAGTGAAGCCAAGCGCTACATATGCTTTGTCATATTTCCTCCCTTCAAATGCTCCCTGCGCACACTCTACCAAAGAGCGTGACTTCGTGTTTGCCCCCTAATGTAGTTGATGAGCAATTGCACTTTATTGTAGGACTGTAAAAAAAATAAATAAAAAAAAAAAGCATGTTCCCCGAGGTCAAACGCGCCTTGACGGAGCCTCGCGCCGCCCCCCTGTGGGGGCGCCCGACTATTTGAGAAGCACTGGTGTAGTGGGACACTCGCCTGACCTGTGTGCGGGCACCGTGACACGCACTTGAGCCTCTGTTGGGTACATGCAGGTCACAGTGTGGATGTAGGTGTGAGTCGTTATTGGTCTCTGTATGTGCGCTGCAAATGGCAGACAACCAGTTCAGGGTATAGTCCACCTACCGCCCTAAGTCAGCTGGGATAGGCTCCAGAATGCCAGCAACCCTCGTGACAATAACCACTTTGGATAATTTCAGTTAATGGTTTAATGACAGAAAAAAAAATATTTCACAGGGTGTATGTCATTGAAAAAAGGTTGAGAAGCAGTGGTCTAGATTATGGCTATGAAGAAAAACATTGAATGTTTATTTACACATCAGAGAAGGGGGCTCGCCATAGAGGCGGATATAAAACAATAAAGAGCATGTACTAATACAACTTTTCTTCCTTCATGTTACATCAATGCCACTCAAATTAATTTGTAATAATCACACCTCAAATGTGCCGCTGAGATCAAAACAGACACTCCATCAGCTCATATTCAAAAGTGACTTTAATGGCATTTGGCGTCATATCATTAACGAATTTTAGATGAAAGTTGTACCTTTGCTCTGTACTACTAACCTGTGTTCTGCTGGGCAACACAGGAGGATGAGTTCTGAGGGAAATTGAGCTGCTCCATCATTGGGGAGGGCAGGAAACTCACAGTGGAACTGTGTAGGAAGATGTTCACAGTAAACATCGCATCGTCATCATCATCATCATCATCATTTAAACTGAACTGAAATCTACCGTATGTTGAGGACATGTTGGATATGTGATGAAGGGTGATATATTTCCTTAAAATATGCCTCCATCAATTCTAAAATGTCGAACACCCATAGTTGATCTCGTCACGGTAAGACAGTTCAGAGGAAAAAGTAGTAAATGTGTTGAAGCAACCTGGCACCCAGAAGGAGTTGTGCAAGCTCAACATTACAGCTGGTGTATTAAATTTGAAAGTGAACGTAAATCTCTGTGCAAAGCAGGCGCTCGGCTCTGTAAGTAGCCTGCCTGTGGGGACTCGTGTACAGCTGGCGAAACACAGACTGCAGGTGGACAGGCGGCCCTTATGGGAGAAGCCGCGCAGTGGTTAAGGTGCTGCTGCATAAATCATTCTAGCACAGACTGTCCTGCTAAAAACTCTCTAATTTCACACCTGAAACAATGACAATGTGACCAATCCAAGATTTCGCCTGGCTGTCTTTCGGATTTGCCACAGATACTACCGGCACGTGTAATGGTCCCAGAGGTGTTACAATCGCTAATTTCCAGAATGACTGGATCCGTGGAGCCCGAAACTAATTACGTGGTTTGCTTTCTGTGAACTACTTCTATCAATTTGCTATAACGAGAGCCTGGCATACCACACGGCTCCATGAGTGCGAAACCAAGGAGAAAATGGCCAAAAAGCAATTGGTAACTGACTCTCAGTTGACAGTCATCATTTTCACAAGACGTGGCACACTAAGTATTTGGGTAATGCTATCTTGAAGAGTATGTGCTGAGGGGATTCACTTATTAGGCATGCTGCATCTACAAATACGAAGGCCCTTTCAAAGTGAGGGGCAGTGTTAGCTACAAATGTATATTTTTTTGACAGCAGGGAAAAAATAAATCAAAAAATTAATCGCTGCTTGTTTTGAAATACTGAAGATAAACCAAAGCACACAATTTTAGCAGGGTGATTTTGCCGATCTAAAAGATGTAGCAGCATTACATTAACAACTTGTAAATATATATACAGTATACTGTGTGTGTGTGTGTGTGTGTGTGTTTTATATATATATATATATATATATAAAACACACACACACACACACACACACACACACACACACACACACACACACACACACACACACACACACACACACACACACACACACACGGTTCGAGATACTTGTCTTTTGGGTGAAATTGCAGGACGAGCCTAAAATTTATTGAAACCTTTTCAGGTGACCTTAATGTGACACATGTCCAACTGTTAAATGTTTCTGTACTTTCCACACAAGTTGCTATTCTCTAACGAGGTGCTTAATTGCAAAATTCACAACAGGCTTTTGATCCTTGAATTGACCAATAAATGTCCTGGTTCAATTAGAGCTGCTGTTTACAGTTGTCCTCATCATGATGTTCACATCCTGACAGCATGAGACCAAGACGACATCTAACAACGGACAGTTCCTTGCCATTGTGATGCTTCAAACAGGACGTTATCAGACGGAAGTGGCCACTGAGCTTAGCGTGTCACAGGGTGTCATCAGGTTGCAACAGAGATACCGAGAGACTGGAAGAGTCACAGAAAGATGAAGAGGTGGGAGTCCTTTGGCCACATCCTTTGCTGATGACCGCTACATTGTGAACAACGCCCTGAGAAACAGGACGATGAATGCCACTCAACTCCAGGCATGTTTAAGGGAAGTAAGAGCCATGCCAGTGTCACAACAGACCATTCAAAACCATTTACATCAGCGTGGTCTGCGTGCTAGACGACCTGCAAGGGTACCTGGCCATCCCACCGGGCACAGGAGTCATCGTCTTGCATGGACCAGGAAGCATTTACGCTGGGATCAGTGGGCCTCAGTGCTGTTCTCTGATGAAAGTCGATTCACATTGAGCAGAAATGATGGCCCCCAACGATGTTGGAGATGTCAAGGAGAGCGCTATGCATTAGCCACTGTTGTCACCAGACAAGCTATTGGTGGTGGCGGTGTTACAGTGTGGGCAGGTGCGTCCAGTCGGGACAGATCTGCCCTACACTGTGTGACAAGCCCATATTACCTGAATAGTCTTATTCGTCGAGTGATTGTACCCTTGCATGAACAACAGGGCCTAATTTCATCTTCATGGACGACAATGCTCCAGCTCATCGAGGTCGCATCATCAGGGAACGGCTGTTGGAGACCTGAATCCTATTGAAAACCTGTGGGATCTGCTGAGTCGCCCTGTCGAGGCTCGAAACTCTGCAACCCAGAACCTCAATGACCTGGGAGATGCCCCTCAAAAAGAGTGGGATGCCATGCCTCAGCAGACAATAAGTCGACTTGTGAACAACATGAGGCGTCGTTGTCAAGCTGTAACTGGTGCTTAAGGGCACAAGACGAGTTATAGAGTCGTTGAAATTTTTTGTCGCGGTGTACCCACCATTGTTGTTAACTTCTGTTTCAATTTACTGTTTGAGATGAGGAAATCATGAGCACATCCTTTTACTTTCATGATATGATATCACTGTAGCATGAATTTTTTACATTGACCATAAATGTCACCAAAAAGCCAAATTCTCCTAACTTTATGTGAGTACTGTATATATGAGACACATTATTCTAAATCCAAATGGTAACTGATTTAAACTTAAAGTTTTTTTTCCCCTCTCGACAAGCACATCCTCATTTTCTTCACCCCTGGATTTACATCCTGTACATTAGGGCAATTGCCAAGGCAAGAAAGTCCGCAAGTGCGTGCGCATTAATATCAGTTTTAAGGCTCTACCTCATGGTGGTGTGCTGGTTTGGAGCAGGGAGAAGGCTGTAGTAAGGCTGGACGCCAGAGACTGCCACTGCACCTTGTCCTGGTTGGCATGTTGACACTAACATCGGCCCTGCATGTTGTGGCAAGGAAACCTGCGATGGACCAATTAAATACGTTAGTAGAGCAACAAAGACTCACTCGACATTGCTCTATGTAAATTCTTAGTGTTGAGAACCAAATGTGTAGTATCTTCTAAAATCACTTTTCGGCTCTTTTCGCTTCCTCACTTTCCTCGTCGGTCAATCGAGTGTCTTCTTTGTAGACACTTTGGTTTGCACAAAACGATGTATGAACTGATACTGATCTGCACCAGCTGGCTACAAAATTATATTGGCAGATTATCAAACTAAAAACTCTACTATCTTTGAAAAGTCAGAGTCTCTTCAATTGTATCTCATTGTGTAAGAGGTCACATAACGTTGTGGCAGACCGGTGTATTTGCATACCTGGTAAGACTGCATTGGGGAGTACTGGACCATCATGCCTTGCATCTGACTGCTTATATTGCTTTGTTGGACACCGGTGAGAGCAAAGTTGAGTGTTGGCTGCATGCCCACTATAGTCTGGTAGGATGCTGGGCTTGACATCACAGGCTGGTGCACTGACAAACAACAAAAGGCAAAGCACTCAGGCCACATTCCAAGAAGTGGCGAGGACGGAGCAGTGGAGTCAAATTGGGGATTCAAATGCTTGGCCACAGAGACTGAGCTGTGGTTAATAGGGTCTTTTCAGGATAAACAATCATCAACAAGAATCATGCAGTGCATCAGTTGGGGGAAAAACAGACTGAGACTTCAGCTGTGCAGTGAGTTGAGCTGTTACAGCAAAGCAAGGTGGAGGCACTTGGGGTAAATGAGAAAATCAATATATCGGAGTTAGCCTGCAGCGGCCTGAAACAGCAACATGAGTGACCAAATTAAGGTTGAGAGGAGAAAAAAAAAAATCAAAACATCCATTTCTTATTAGTGCCCAAACCACCCAGGCGATCAGACTAGCAGGCCATATTCCCAAATGGCATGAAATGGTGGCGCCGGCTCCTAGCCAGAGGGGGACAATGTCAAGGTGACAAGGCAAGACATTTAGAAATGCAGTCCCCAGTGACACACGTGAGGTGCTGCGAGCGACAAAAGAGAGGACATTCTTTTGTGAAGGTGTCAGCAGTACGCCTCCTGGGAGAAAAGTACAATGAAACAATGAAAGCACTGAGGAGCAAGGAGATGGTTATTTTTATCCACCCGTCTCCCACTTTCACATACAAACCGAGCATGAAATGACCGCAATTTTAAATGCGCCAGATTTATTCCATTTCAGCAGGCAGCGGATGATTGTGTTTCCTCAGACGCAGATAATGGCTGACTATCTCCTCGCTGTTTTTGAGGGATGCCAGTTTGCGGTGGAGGGACTGAACCCTTCCACTAATCTGAGTTTAAGACTGATTTCACATTCCCGTTGTCAATTTATACCGTACCATCAGCGGCATGGCCTGCAGGTGAGGACTGAGGGGCTGAAAAAGAGACCGGTTCACTGTGAGATTCATAGAGGCCTCTCAGACAGCGTCCCGGCCCCGTATCCCGCCTCTCATCAGTTTTCCTCTTAGATCTCATAACGAGGCCGAGAGAGGGTGTAAAAAATTGATTTTAAACATATGCTAAGATATTCAAGGGGATTCTATTCTACCCTATATGCAAGTAAGGGTTATGTGCCTGCACTATTTAGGCTTTAGCACATACATCTTGCAGTGCCTGCTTTTCCTTGCAGTAATTATAAAGACATCAGGGACACAAGTTATTTTTCACTTATATATAATTTACTTCATTTGCTGTTGTATGGCATCCGAGCTTGTCCAATTAATGAACCCGAGTAGGGAAACGCTGCTGGAGTCACATATAGAACATGTGTGCACATTTGTATGTGTGTGTGTGTGTGTGTGTGTGTGTGTGTGTGTGTGTGTGTGTGCGCGTGTGCGAATATGAGCTGGCGGCAGCAAGGAGGTGACAGAACAGACGCTCCTACAGAAGGTCACAGAAGCAAAAAGTAAGAGTGTTCGAGCAATCCTGCAGAGGAATCTGGATTCAAAAACACGTAAAGGACAGGAAGAGAATGCAATTATGTGCCCTTTTGCAAAATGAACTGTGTCCTGTGTCCTAGTGTCATTGCTTCCTTATGAAGAACAACTAAGAAACTGGAAAAGGAGTCTTAAAACATCTCTTTGCAGCATGATGCCAAAACAATCAAGGAGACCTCGTTCATTTAAAAAATGTTTTCAAAGTATGGACTAAAGTAACATTACTCTGAGAAACGGTATTATAGCAAGCTCAACAAAAATGTCAAGGGCAACAAATTGTTTTTGAATCCACATACTTGAGTGTGAGAATTACTACCTTGCTGCTGGGACAGGGTTTGGCTGTGAAGGCCGTTATGCGGCAAATGGTTTAGAGGCGGGCGGTAGTGCTGCTGCTGCTGCTGGCTGGAGCAGGGAGGATGGTGGATTGATGAACAATAGCAAGCGGATACCTGTGAGGAGCATAAAAGACCAATTCAAACATCATGTGTATGTTTTTGCTCAATGTATGTAGCAGCACAGAGGGACTGTCCTCCGAGACAAGTTTCTCCTATGGGTGCAGTGCCTGCTTTTCCTTGCAGTAATTATAAAGACATCAGGGACACAAGTTATTTTTCACTTATATATAATTTACTTCATTTGCTGTTGTATGGCATCCGAGCTTGTCCAATTAATGAACCCGAGTAGGGAAACGCTGCTGGAGTCACATATAGAACATGTGTGCACATTTGTATGTGTGTGTGTGTGTGTGTGTGTGTGTGTGTGTGTGTGTGTGTGTGTGCGCGTGTGCGAATATGAGCTGGCGGCAGCAAGGAGGTGACAGAACAGACGCTCCTACAGAAGGTCACAGAAGCAAAAAGTAAGAGTGTTCGAGCAATCCTGCAGAGGAATCTGGATTCAAAAACACGTAAAGGACAGGAAGAGAATGCAATTATGTGCCCTTTTGCAAAATGAACTGTGTCCTGTGTCCTAGTGTCATTGCTTCCTTATGAAGAACAACTAAGAAACTGGAAAAGGAGTCTTAAAACATCTCTTTGCAGCATGATGCCAAAACAATCAAGGAGACCTCGTTCATTTAAAAAATGTTTTCAAAGTATGGACTAAAGTAACATTACTCTGAGAAACGGTATTATAGCAAGCTCAACAAAAATGTCAAGGGCAACAAATTGTTTTTGAATCCACATACTTGAGTGTGAGAATTACTACCTTGCTGCTGGGACAGGGTTTGGCTGTGAAGGCCGTTATGCGGCAAATGGTTTAGAGGCGGGCGGTAGTGCTGCTGCTGCTGCTGGCTGGAGCAGGGAGGATGGTGGATTGATGAACAATAGCAAGCGGATACCTGTGAGGAGCATAAAAGACCAATTCAAACATCATGTGTATGTTTTTGCTCAATGTATGTAGCAGCACAGAGGGACTGTCCTCCGAGACAAGTTTCTCCTATGGGAGACCTAATAAAAAGTCAAATCAAAATCAAATCAAATCATCAAAGGAAAAGAACGAGTGGAATCCCATTTTACTGAGTAATGTTCACTGCTGAGCTACCTGTTGGACCGGCTGATGAATGTAGCTGTGTTGCTGGTTCAGAGTGGAACCAGGAAAAGCCGCATGACCAGTCATGCCGCTTGGGTAGGTTTGGTGAGGTCCTGGAGTTGGAAGTGGTACAGGCTGGCCTTGGAGCATCCCTGGGTGTCCCCCTGGAGTTCCCGCAACCACGTAATTAGAAACTTGCTGGGGTGCTCCATGCAACACGACCGGGGCGGAATGGTGGTGGTACAATGCTGCATAATGGTGGCCATCTGCAGCCGGCGCTCCATTGTTGCCGGGGGACTGCTGCGTCAATGTCATGTGATTGAATTGGGTGTTGAGAGTTTCAGGCTGGAAAAGAGATTTAAAATCAATTGATGTGTACATCCGCAGTAATAATCCCGTGTTGGTACTGAGAAGAGGTCATTAAATGCAGCATTAACACCATCCCGAGGTCGATTATTGGGGAGAACTATTTTTTTTTTTTAAATTCATTTGGATCAATACAGCTTTACCAATTAAGACTATCTACAAGCCAAGTGCTAAATCAAGAAGGGTCAAAATAATTTTAGATGCTGAGTTTAAATATAACCCCGTCTGCAGAGACAAGAGGAGTCAAAAGTGAATTTTACCTATCCATACCAATACCCCATTACACCTAAAGTCTACTCTGACATGTTGTAAAAGTCATGTTTTAGTCATGTATTATTCAGCACTAACATCTGGTGATGAATTAAATATTAATGCAGCTTTCGACAATCATAATTAGTTGCAAAAAACACAAGATAAACTAAAACCAGGTCAGAAATGAGGCTATCGGCTCTTTCCGTATTTTACTTTCCAATACATTGGTTTCCAACAATGTTCAAGGTGACTTACTAAGACAGCACAGAAAATCGAAAAATAACTGATTTGTAATCAGCAGAGAAAGAATAATGAACTGTAAAATCAGGTGTGTACCACAGTGTACTGTTGGTTGTCACAGACTGGCGGGAATAGAGGAGGAAGATGGTACGAGACTGTTGGGTTATGAGCAGGCTCTGAGGACGGCTGGAATGGATGACACAACGGCTGAAGAGACAAGGAAAAATGAAAACAGTTGAGACCAGGTGAATGGAAGCATGGCATTGATGTCATTTGACCACTTGCCTCGGACCTGCCCCCCGGTCAAACTCTCCATGTAAAATGACAACTTCCATTTACAATGACCATATTGGCAGACTTAGAGGAGACTTCTACTGCAAAGAAGAAATGCCATTTGCTGGACGCTAGGCAAAAACCCAGTTCAGGGAGGTCATAGAGAATGTCTCCTGTACGGCTTCAACATAATTCTGGTCAACCATCTAACAGGTCAGGAGCAGACAGCAGTCCACCATCAACACTATATAGTGGGGATTAGGGTGGTCCATTTTGGAAAAGTTTGTCGGATTCGTCGGGCCGGGTCGGAAATCTTGTCGATACTATGACACAAGGATGTGTGCAAAATTTTATTCCGATCGGATAATTTTATCCCGTCCCGCAGAGCGACCAAAGTTTCCCCTATGGAAAGAATGTTACGGGGCTGAATGGTAGTACGGTTTCTCCCGTACAGTAAGGATTTTGTTTTGCTCAGTTCGCACTTGCAATAATTCAAAGACGGAAGACAGGAACGCATGTATTGCAAAAAAGGCAACCGTGGTTATCCTTCAACACTGGTGAGATTGTTGGTCCATGTTAACTGGTCCATCTGTCTATCTGTCCATCTGTCTATAATGTCCATCAACACTAGTGACACTGTTAGACCGCAAAAAAAAACGAAATCCGCCGTGCGTGCCATCCCATGCCTACTTCGCGCACGGGTGCAACGCCCGGTGTCGCTCCACGACCTGCAGAAGGTGCTGTCGCTGTTCCTCGTCGCGCGTAATGGCGCCGCAGAACGCGCTGATGAGGGCGACGCCCCTCTCCGCAAAGTC